GATTACAACTGGCCTTCCCCCCTTCCAGTTAACTCCTAATTATTCTTTCTTTCTCATTCCATTACAATATACCCTGTTTCTTGCCATCTTTGGGGAACAATATTTCTTTTCATTTATGCAAATTATGCTATGTTATGTTATGTTATGTGTTATGTTATATGCCTAATTGTTTTTATAGTGTGTGTTGTAAGCCGCCTAGAGTGGTCACAATCGACCAGATAGGCGGGGTATAAATGAAATGAAATGAAATAAATAAATAAATAAATAAATAAATGAATCAGCTCAGTGAGTTAGATATCTGGCTGCAGAGTCAGAGAATGGTACTTCAATTCCTCACTCTGTATCCCAGAAGAAGAGTCAGCCTGCATGGCCTGACACCTTTTAAGTAACTAACCATTGCATTATTTCTATAGATCCCATCTGAAGTGGGGATCTGGTTAGCTGGGGCATTTTAAGGCTTTGCCCCACTCTCAACACACACCAGGTTTGAATAGAAGCTTTCCTTCTAGTGCTTACAGGTTTCGGATGACTCATTCCAAATCAGCATCATGGAAGGGAGGAAAAGGCTAATTCATCAATGGCATCCCATCTGGTTTGGCCCAGAATTCGTTTTAAAAACCTAAGATGGATTGTGCAAAGAAGATATGGGCTCTAATATATATATATATATTTAAAAAAACATGGGTTGATTAATGCATGGAAGTATGAAGATGGGCAAAAATGGCAACCTGCAACTGGCTGCAACTTAACCAGATTTATTCAGAACTAAACTACAGATTTTTAATGGGGGTTACTTTTTAATGGGTCTTACTGATTTTAGGGGGAATTTACAGCTTTTTGAGATGGAAAGCAAAGACTCAGGTGCACTCTGATTCTTTTGGTAAAGCTCTGTGAGAAAATTTTAGCCTTTAAAAGGCAATTGGAATACAGTAGTGGGAAGCCTACATCTCTGAGGCCCTGTGAATACATCCTATGTTCATGGATGGGAAAGTAAAAATACTGTTATCGATAGTTATTCATGATAACAATGTTGTTTTAATTATTTAGTATAATAAGCTGGACCCTATTTAGAAGTCCAAAAGAGAGAAATTTATGTACAGGTACAATTGACATTAGTGCTTGTAAAGCATCAAAAAGCTGAAACTCCTGAATATTCTACCCTTTTTGAAAGTCAGGCATATTGATTACTGTAGCAGTTAAAAGCAGACAAAAATAAATTTAAAAACCCCCTGACTTCTCTTCTTTCGTCACTCCACATTTTCTCTGCAAAATGATTTTATACTGTGAAGCCTGAAAACCTGAAGCCTAGAGAAAATAGCATCTCCTGAAGAGATTCATCCAGTGTGAAAATTGTGACTTATTGATGATACCCTTGGGCTGACCAAAATTTTGCTAGGACACAGAGAGGACAAACCAAGAAGGGAGCAGTGGATTCCTTGAGAATTTTATACACTCCATTAAAAAATTAAATGACAGACAGGACATAACAAACAAGCCCACAGCCCTTTGTTTTCTTTCTGGCAGGGAGGACATATATTCAGCGCTAAATTTTATCAAAATAGTTGCATATCCTTATATTGCCACCCCAACCCGGGAATAAAGACATGAGACAGTAGATTGGATTAAATGCAGGCAACACTTTATTTAAATAATGGATTCAGGAAAATTGCCTTTTGGCCAGTAAAAGAATACAGGGGCCTGCTGTAGTGCAGAAAGCCGGTTAACTGGGGGGATTCCCATACCCCCTGATCAATAAATGGGTGAGTCCCCAGCCCCCAAGGTCCGGTGGTCCTGAGACCGCAGGATCCTGGCTAGCCACTAATAAACACCCCCAGACCTCAAGACATCTTTGACTGATGACTGGTGGTCCGGGAGTGGCCCAGCGCATCCTCCCCCCACAGGCACTGTAATCGCACGATCCGCAATGCCGGAAGGTCAGACGCGCTGTTGGCTTACCTGATTTTACAAATTGGGACACACCGAAATACGGGTTATTTCTGCACTACCCGCCAGTGCGACCAAATTAGTTTCCACCAAAAGCCAACGACCCTCATCCAATGTGGGACAGGTGAAAAATCCCCCCATCCAAGGCCAATCAGGATGAAGGTCAAAAATTCCCATCTGGCCCCAGATGGCGACCAGAAAAACTCACACTAGAATTAAGGAGGACAACGTTCTCTGGGTGAGTCACCTAAATAAGTTCCTCTCTCCACCCAACCATCACGTGTCCCTGTGATGTCTCTGCCCTTTTCAGAGTGGGAGGCAAATGACGCTCGCTTGCTCAAAGTCTGTAGACTTAGCAGCGAGCTAAATCTTTTCCTTCTGGTGTGTCAATAACTTGGTGGACATCATAGTTTTTAAGGGCTATACTCCTGTTTTGGATTGTGCTTGTGTAAGTATAACTATGCAAATCAAGTGTCTTCCATAGTTGTCAAAGAGGAAGCTGTGTTACTCTGTGCTGGCATGTCAGGCAAAAAATATTACAACAAAATAAAATGAAAAAAAGAAAGAAGATTAAAATGTTGTGGCACTTTAAAGACTAACTGCTGTATTTAAATGTCAGCTTTCATGGAAAATGTCCACTTCTTGTGACAGCTGAGCAGAATACGTGTTTATGTGTACCACAACTGTTGTGCTAATATTTATGTGATTAAAGTGGGAAGGTTGTTTCTTCACTTTCTAAATTTCATCCTTATCTATGAAGAGGACATTGTACTCAGAAATAGGTTCCACTCAGTTCAACTGCACTCACCCCAAAACTGGATATAGCATGGCTAAAACAGCAGACCATTAAGAAAGTAACTGAAGGCTTGATAAAATAGAAGGCTTCTACTTAGAGCAAACGATTTTTGACAAGCTTTTATTAGGTTCAAAAGAACAAACTGTTAAGAAAATGTACAATTATATGTTGGAAATTAAGATGCAAGATGAGATGGTTAAGGAATGTATGATTAAGTGGGCACAAAATATAGGGCATAATATTGATATTGATCAATGGCTGAAAATATGGCAAAATAATATAAAGCTTACAAGATCGGTGAACTTTAAAGAGAATATATATAAGATGTTTTATAGATGGCACATGACCCCAGAAAAATTGTCAAAGATGTATACAGATGTATCAAATAAGTGTTGGAAATGTGAATCACAAGTGGGAAGCTATTATCATATGTGGTGGTCATGTGGAGTAGCGAAACAATATTGGAAAAGAGTGCATGTAATGTTGGAACAAATATTGCTCTGTAAAGTGCCATTAACCCCAGAACTGTTTTTATTGAGTATGATACCTGAAAATATAGATAAGTCAAAGAATTATATAGTTATATACATAGTTACTGCAGCTAGAATTTTATATGCTAAAAATTGGAAAAGATCAACGGTACCGAAACAAGAAGATCTTATTGAAAAGATACGGGAAATAGCCGAAATGGACATTTTATCAGAAGTCATGAAGGGCTATCCCTTGCAAAAGGCAACAGAAAGATGGGATCTATTTAACAAGTGGACAGAATCAACAGGCAGCTTGTGAACAGTACATATTGAAAGGAGAACTGAATCTAGAAGGCAGAAAAGAGTAAATAGAATAATTTAAAATCTTGATATGGCAATAGGTACAGAATGGATGAAAGTATGTTATTGTCTCCCCTCTTCCTCATCAATCCCAATTCCCTTTTCCTTTTTGTTAACCCTTAAAAAAAAAAAAAAATAAAAAAAAAAAAAGATTTAGTGCATTTTTACTATCCAGTTCACGGAACTCTTAATGTTTAGAATATTATTGCAGAGCACTCAGAAAGTTGTAAGTATTACTGTGTGCATTCTAATGTGAGTTAATTAGCTCTTAAGTAAAAAAAAAAAAACAGTCTTAGGAATACTAAAGGTATGAAGAAGAAGGCTGAGTCAATTCAATATAAACCCCCGTATGGGGCTCCTATATGAGGCAATTAACTTTCAGAGTATGCCTGATAACTAAATAACTAAAGAGCCAGATGTGTGGGTCCGGTTATTTATTTAAGTCACTTTTCTGCCCATTAGGAATTCCAAAGTGATTTGCAGTAGATTTAAATATTTATAAATTTTCATTTTATTTTATTTTGTAAACAGAACCATTATTTAAAAGCAGATCCAAAACATTCTCTGAAAGCTCATTTTAAATGTCCTGGAAATCGAAGTCCAGTCAAAATAAGACAGTTTTAACTGCCCATCACAAGTTCGACAGAGATATCGCTAGTCTAACTTCCCTTGGAACAAAGTTGTACTGTTCGGATTGTGTTCCAGAAAAAGCTCTGTGTCATAGCTACCCTGTTTCCCTGAAAATAAGACCTAACCTGAAAATAAGCTCTAGTATGATTTTTCAGGATGCTTGTGGGACCCTATGGATCATAAAGTACAGCCCATCAAAGAGGCAGAATGGGGAATTGAACTCCCAGTTTCTGGCTCTGCAACCAGACACCTAAACCATTGAGTTATCCAGCAACTGACAATAAGGAGATGAGATTACAAGGGAAGTGGTGAGCAAGAAAAGGGTTTTGGTTTCCTTCTCTCCAAAGTTCAAAACAGAGAAGCAGGGAAGAACAGCCCATCAAAGAGGCAGAATGGGGAATTGAACTCCCAGTTTCTGGCTCTGCAACCAGACACCTAAACCATTGAGTTATCCAGCAACTGACAATAAGGAGATGAGATTACAAGGGAAGTGGTGAGCAAGAAAAGGGTTTTGGTTTCCTTCTCTCCAAAGTTCAAAACAGAGAAGCAGGGAAGAGAAATCAAATAGTGGATGAGATTTTTAATCTTTAAACATACTGTAAATAACAATATAATATCAATTTGTTTAAGACCTCCTCTTTCACTCTAATTTTAACTGATTTAGCTTCTGGGAATCACTAACTGTTAAATAAACTGTGAATGCTTTCCTGCTAACCTTCCCAACTCTGATCAAGCTTTTGCACAATAATTTCATATTCCATAATAGTAAAGCTCAGATCAATAGAAAACAGAATGTTTACCTTTTGGTAGATTTGTGAGGTGGCAGATACCACAGCTCAGGTTTTCTGGACTCTGAAAAAAAAAAGATTGACACCTTTAATTAAGAACAGACACTGGAAAAATGAACTAAAAGCCCTGTTTCCATGTTTCCCATGGTCACACTCAAGTACAGTATAAGATCCTAACATCAATGGACACTGCAGAGACATATCATTTTAGGTTCCTAAGACTGTTTCTTAGTAGGTCCTCACCATGTCTGGGAACACAGCAAACTCTACTGGGCAGAAAGGCTATCTACCTTGACTCAGTTCAGCCCCAGCTTAGAAATGATTGTGTAGCTGACATCAAATGGCTAGTGCGGCATCATGTAGTAGATCTCTGGGATTCAAGTTGGCATCGTGGCCACGATCAACTTACATGTCCTGAAGAACTCAAATACTCCAGGAATATTTGTGGCTCGGGTCAAGATGATCCCTAAAAATGTGTGTCAAGATCCAGTTGCAATCAACAGAGCCAGGTATCAAGAAAATGTCATAACCCAATGGTGACAAGTGACCAGGGATGTAGTGACTACTCACAAGATTTCTCATTCTCAGCCATTTTCTAAGTCTTGCCACGTTGAGACTCCATGACAAGACTTCATGCACCATCAAGATTTTCCAGCTACTCATTGGAAACCCTCATTTTCTCCATCATTCCCCCCCCTGTTTTTCACTTGTTATGTGCAGGAAACCTATGACCTTTCTAGTTCATCCTGTTTGGGAAGGATGTGAATTCTGTACAGGAATTATAACAATCCTGGGCAATCTAGCATTTCTTCCTTAAAAAAAAAACAAAAAGAGGGGGGGAGGGAGGGAAGGAGGGAGAGGGAGAGAAGAAATTTGAAAACTTACAAGAAATTTCACAAGAGTTCACATAAATTTTCTTGGAGGAGTGGTGGAAATCTCACTATAGAGACACATCACTGTGAGAAAAGAGTCACTCTTTTCCTTCCTTTTTCTCTCTGATGGTAATAGACTGCAAGATTCAAATCTGTACAAGTGAACCCCATCCTCTCTGTATGAACAGACCTTATGTCTTTTGTAATTTGTGGTTGTGTTATAATCCTGTCCCACACACCCAGTGTATCTATTTATTTATACAACATAGCATCTGGTCTCTGAGTCACCAATATTTGGGTGGGAAGAGATGCCAAGAGGAGTTCACTCCTTCCTGTCATAGGAGCTAAAGTACAATAATGAGGAAAGAAGAAGGATTCCAAAATTGTCAGGAAAATTCAGCTTAACCTCTAGGGAAAAGACCAGGAAGGGAGCCGAGGTGAGTGGGCTACCCTTCAGGCATGAGCACCTCTCATGCAGCCCAGCCTGGACTGACCAACTCTTATACAGAAGGAGAAGCAGGAGCTTGAGCCTGAGTCCAAAGCAGCTGGAGCTACAGATCCCAAGGTGCTCTAGAGTCTAGATGACTGCTTGGATGTACTATCCAATTATGGCACACAGGTTCTTCCTTCCTTTTTGTTGTTTATGTAGATGTTCATGGAGTTGTTATGCTACCTACCGTGGCTATAGACATCTACTGTATGTACATACAGGTGTTTTTGACTCTTCCTTCTGGCTCCAATATTCTTACCTAATTCATTTTTGGTGACTGGTTCCTCTAGATACAGGATTGGTCAAGGATTTAGACATTCTCTGCTAAGGGTCTAGCTTAAACAGTGCAGGGGGAAACCTCACATTTTTCAAGCTGCAGAATCTTGAGGTCACACAGTTTGCCTTACCACCTCATCGAAAGAGGCAGATGTGCCACAACCATGTTCTGATGGTGAATGCCGTATGTGACTCACCAACAGGAACCAAAGATGTTTGCAAAAGCACTAATGGTGTGATGGCTCTGAAGGGGCTAGACGTTCCTTTTCACTTGGGAAACATCACCAGCTCCCATTAGAAGATAGTTTTCAATGAAATAACCATGGCAAATGACAGAAAAAACTACAGCGAGAAAAGGGCAGAGCAGAAAATAGCATTTGATGTCTTGTGATGTTGTGCCAGGTTATAAAAGTTTGCTTCCCCCTTTAAATTACTGCCTTAGTTCTGGTTTCTAATGACGAATCACATATGGTATTATTTCTAGTGATATTGTCAACAGATGAAAAAGGTCCTTTTTTTAAAAAAAAAGTGATGTGTATTTTTGGCATGCATATCTAATATATACGTCCATTTCTTTGTTTCCTGTGAAGTCTGATTATGGAGCATTCTGTGAAACAGTGATCTCTAATGTCAAGCGCTTGTAAGATGACAAGGATACAAGAATTTTTACCCACAGATTAACCTACTGCATATCCTTATTCTTCTCGGCATGAACGAAATCCAGTTCTAGTCACCATTAGCACAGAACTACTCAAATCAAGGGAATTCAAATCATCTGTGATTAACAAGTCCCATTTATTTCACTGTGTTTCTTCCAGTTGAAATATGTGTAGATATACCCTTCCACTCTATTGCAATGATTCACTGCAAGTCTCTGACTATATGAATATTCCATCTTATTCAAAAGAGGCTGAAAACAGAGATTCGTGATATGTTGGAACACTACAGCACCCAAGAAACATCTCTTAAGGCTACTATTCTGAAATCTCTTTGCCGATCGTTAAGTATATCCTGAGTGGTGCCATGGAGAGTGTTGGACAAGGACTGAGAAGTCCTGGGTTCAAATACCTGCTCAGCCATTGGAACTCACTCTGGGTAGCAAATGAAAGCCCTCCTTGAACACGTCACATACCTGAAAACCCTGTTAGGGTTGCAATAAGTTGGAAGGGACTTGATAGCACATAAAAACAAGTACTGTATTACGATTGTCATACAATATTAATTTTACATCACCACCACAGTTGGTATTGAAAAGAATATAGGATTTGCCTTCACATGAAAAATTACACTGATATTTACCCATACTCTCAACCATGAAAAAATATTAGCCCAAACTGTTTCCATTTAGAGACAGTCCACAGAATGTGGTTTGATATATTATGGCCACAAACCGGGTAACATTTTCAGCACACAAGTAAAATATGGAGGGAGAAGATGCATTGTATACTGCTGTTTCTTTATCTTTTAGCAACATAACCAATAGCAGTGTTCTTAGAGACTAAATAAAACAGAACCTGATGTTGGGAACCTGTGAGGGCAAGAGGAGAAGGGGACGACAGAGGATGACATGGATGGACAGTGTCATTGAAGCTACTGACATGAATTTGACCCCACTCCGGGAGGCAGTGGAGGACAGGAGGGCCTGGCGTGCTCTGGTCCATGGGGTCACGAAGAGTCAGACACAACTTAATGACTGAACAACAAAAATAAAACAGTGTTGGTTCAGTCATTCTGAGGTGCATACCCAAGGCAGCACTGCAGAAACCCTTGCTGTAATAAACAGAGCCCATGCCAATAGTCTTGACTCATAGACTAGTTATGGTCTCTCCAAATAAGGTGGCAGCTTTTTTAAAAAAAGTTTTGGTAATTAATTGAATTAAAGTGTTCTTGATAGACATACCCATATGAAATAATTACACTGATTTTATTCTCCCGTTCCTCTTTGCTAAGTTCCAATCAATGCAACTGTGATTTAGATGTGGATTTGGATGCAGAGAATCAGTCTGCTAGTGTTTTAGTTAAAAAAAAACCAACCCTGAAGTAATGAGATTCTGCAAATACCAACTCACCACCCCTCAGAGAAAGATCTGCAACTCCGTTCTTTATGCACAAAGCAAAAAGCAGTCTCATGTGCCTGCTTCCTTCTTGCAGAAAACGGGTTGGGGGGTTGGGAGGAATACTGCAAATTGTATTGTAGGAAGAATAAAATCCCATGAGTGAGATATCCTATATGCATTTTTTTGAATCACCTATTTTCCACTCCCATACTTCTTTGTCCATATCCGCATAGCACGTTGGGGCTCTATGCTAAGCCATGCTTCTGAAGAATGGGTGTTCCAGCAGTAAGATGAGTGAAAAGCTCCAAGAATATGGCTCAAGGCACAAAATGGTTTCACGCAGCCACTGAGACACAAATGGGATTTCCTCAAGGTGTGAGGCATTCTCATTCATAGATGTGAATTCCACTGAATTTATAAATGAATGTCTGGTACATGGACAACTATATCTGCATAAGTCACAAGAGGTACAAGCAAGGTTCTCACCATGTCTTGTAGAACAACCATTGTGCTCTTAAGACATTCATAAAACTCCTAGTGTCTCATTCACAAGAGGTAATTGCCTCTATTTTACACAGTACTAGTTGATCTTATCTGTGTTGGGAAGGGTTCAAAGGAGGACAACTAAGATAACATATGATATAAAAATTAGTGCTATGATGCAAAATGGAAGGAGGAGATGGGAGGAAGTGAATTAAAGTTAAATCGTTACCTATAACACTCTACTTTTAGGGAAGTGAAGGCATAACATAATTACATGTCAAAAGGATCAAAATGAGCAGTGATAGCACTAGCTGTTTTGGTATCAACAGTATTTTATCCCTGCTATTTTTAAGAGTTATTTTTGAAGGCAATTTGAGAGTTTTTTTAAAAGTGAGGTCCATTCAGATCCAATGGCCATCCTAGCTAGAGATTCTGGAAGTTGCAGTCCAAAACAAAGTGTGCTGCTTATATACCGCCCTATAGTGCTTCAAGCACTCTCTGCGCGGTTAACAAGTTAATTATGCAGGCTACACATTGCCCCCCCCCCCAGCGAGCTGGGTACTCATTTTATCGACTTCGGAAGGATAGAAGGTTGAGTCAACTTGAGCTACCTGGGATTGAACCCCAGGTCGTGAGCACAGTTTTGGCTGCAGTACAGCAGTTTAACCACTGCGCCACAAGGAACTCTCCCTGGCTCTCAATAACAGAAATACTGATATGGTCTGTCTATAGCGTTTCCTTAAGTGAATGCGAGAAGTTGTTGCAACATGTGTTAGTCTTCAAGAGAGATGCAGCAAGAACTGTTTTCAGAAAGAGCACTTCTAGCAGACATCCCCTTGAACACAAGGGCAGCAGTCCAACAAAGAAGATCCAGGTACCTAGAAGA